CCAGACGACTAAATTATTTCCTCTATTTTCCTGAATGTACTAGCCTGATTCCAAAATTTAGAAAATGTAGGTTTTATGAAAGAAATATATGTTTAGAAAATAGGATTTTACTGACTAATTAAATTCTTTATTTTTTTGTTAGTTTTTTCTATTTTTCATGGAAATTCATTCAAAATACGTTGACTGATGCTTTAAAAAAAAGGGACGATTTTTCTGATTCTATACCACATTTGTTTTGGTGTCTTTTCTTCACATTTGTTTGTCCTGTGTGTCATATTTAAATTTAGAAGCTTTACATCCATGCTTGAGGAAATCCATGTGTTTTTTAAAAAACATATCTCTTGTTGAAAGTGTAGTTCCTGTTCCTGTGCCTAGAGTTGCTCAAATAGACTGACATAATTTTGTATCATTTTTTCAATAAAATATCATAACTAATAATTAATATAATTAATATATACATGTTTTCAGTGAAAACATGCCTACGAATGTCTCAGCATTAGCATGGACAAAGGCAGTATGCAGAGTGCCTTGATTTCATTCTAACATTTCCTGTGGAGCATGCTGGCTACATTTTCCAGTTTTGGCTTAATAATCATGTACTCTTTTGCACATAGATTTTTGTAAACTCCACATTTTTTTTTTTTTTTTTTCCAAAAGTGTTTATCATTGCAGTTTTGCAGAGGTTTATAATTGAAGCAAACAGAATATCAACAAACAAACAAACAACAATCATCAACAACCAACAGCTTATCTTAATTTTGCTGAAACTAGCAAATGTTCCTCCTGTTCTGTCTTGATTTAAATGAGAAGAGAAAAGGAATCAGGTTGTTATAGATTTCCCATTAGGAGAAGGTTTGGAAGGGTTTAATATAAAGTTTGATTTTCATTTACAGTTAATGTCACTTCCATAAGGTTGTTTTAGGGCTTATTTCATTATTTGTTTTACAAAGTTTAGTAAAGCTCAAAAATATTTCTATACACACAGGATTGGAATGTTAATAATGATTTTTAAAAAAAATGACAATAGTAAATAACTTACAAGCTCAAATCTCAAATCTCAGCAAATAAAACAGTCACTAACATCATATGAAATGCCAGCAAACCAAAATATTATTGTATTTTCTTTCTGTATTCACTTAATAGCATTTTGTTACTTAATACAACACAGTCATAAGAACTCTTTCAAAATGGTAGTGGAGAGAAATTTAAGTATTGCATTGGCTAAATGATATTTTTTAATTCTGTGAAAGATCAGTTGTGTTTATCTGGAAATTGACATCTTATTGTTAAGGGAAAAACATTTGCAGAGTATTGTCTAGAATAATATTATCCATAATATTTTGAATCATTTGTTGTTCTTTGCTCCATAATAATGAACTTTGCTTTCATAACTCAGAGTAAATCCTCATCAACTAATTCTATTTTCAAACAGCAAAATTCAGAGCAAACTTATAAAATTTGTATAAGTAAAAATTTTGGAAGTATAAAATATTCAAACAGACCTTTGTGCCACAGACATTGTCTACTGTCATTGCTTTCCAAATCTTTGTTATCTCACAATATTGTAAATCTGCATTTCAAGAATAACAGTATTTTCAGATTTGTGAGGTAGCACACTTAAATCCATGTACTAATAATCTTTTATGTTCAATGAAATGGTTTGAACTATTCTAACTCCTTATGTTTTCAGGACACAAAAGTTTTTTTCCTACATAAGATTTCTTTCAAAGCATTGTTATAAATTTGTCTTCAGTTCTGTATGTCCACAATATAATCTTACAAACTAGATTCCTTGAAGGCATTTTACAGAATGTTTTGTGTTTTGAGGGGGGCACTGTTCAGACATTTAAGATGATGCTAAATGTTTGTGCACCAGTATCTGATGTTTGGAAATTAGAATGAAAAGCATTTTTCTTGAGTCTACCACTTCAGTGCCTTTTAAACTTTTTTGTAAACAATTTCCTGTCACTACTCATACAACATGAGATTTTATGGCTCTTTCCATAGTCCAGAGAAAGACAACTGTGAGATACGGATTATACAAGTCTTTCTAGGGATTTTTCAAAGCTACAGTGCTTGAAAACAAAAGTGCATACCTAGTACAATTCACAAATGCACTGGGGTTCTTAGCCCCACTGACTTCATGTCATCTCAGATATCTTATTTAAATCTTATAAACTTCATATCTGTTTAATTACCTTTTAAAAAACAAAGTCTTAAAATCTGGCATGCATCTTTTAGAAAGAGAGTGATTGAACATGGAATAAAACACAAATCCATTGGGTCCCAGATGATGTGTGAATATAAAGTGAAGATTTTTCTTAGTTTCATAGATCTGTTTACAAAAAAAAATACCTTCTTTAATTTAAAATTGTTTGATCACCCTTTGAAAAAAGTCTTATATTTTAATTAAGATTTTATAGCATAACTGCATCTGTAATTATATAACCCTTTTTTTTTTTAATCTTCCTGGAGGCTTTTTAATTACGTGATTGAAACATCTCAATTACAAAGCTCTTGAATGTCAAAAATACGTATTTGATATTCAATTTGTCAGTAATTCAGCATAAAGCAACTACTGTTGTATCTGAACTTTGTGTAATAGCATGATTAAATTACATTTTAGATGTTAGGTTTCCGTACAGACTGTCCTGCTCACAGCAAATGCTCTGAGCTCTTTGAGAGCTTTCCTGTTCACTCAGTATCACTTTCATTGATTTTGCTTGCATAATACTTGTAAAGGACTAATACAGTTACAAACAGCAGAAATTGATCTTAAGATTACACATTTGTAAACATTTTTTTGAGAGTTCTGCTTGAGGTCTACTCTGCAGTGGATGATCTTGCTATGCTATCATGCACAAAAATTAAAAAGAGCAGCTTCAAAACTAAAATTGTTATGGTAGTAAATGGGCCTTGCTAATCCATCTGCTTCCCTAATGTTTGGTGAGATATTTTGTTGCCTTAGTTTGTCATCCAAGGAACATAAACTACCTTGACTAATAATGAAAAAGAAAAACACAAGCCCACCAATACAAAACATTTTCTGTTACTGTGTCCTGCGTTACACCTCTGCTCTCTGCTGGTATAATCTACACTGACAGTGATTTTAATGCAACCCTGTCCAATTTTGCCATATAACTCTAAATTTATTTAAGCAACATGAATTTTAAAGTCTTATTGGAAGAGTCATTTATACAACTTTGTAATACCTTTTCATTTCAACAAGAGTAGAGGGTACTTTGGGTATGTTAATCAGATATGTGATCTAAGTATATCTGGTAGCTATTAATTCTTCAGTGGCACAAAAACTAAGTTGTAGACCTGAAAGACTTAGGTTCACCTTGCCGCTGCCAGTAATCATGAGTAGAGCTTGAGCATATTGTATAGCATGGCAGAGATTTTAGAAGGAGAATATAGGGATACATACACTTCAGGGGCTGTAAACCATTGTCTTAGAAAATGTATTTTTCTTAAATCCTCAGAAAAAAAAAAAATAAATGAAATAGTTTACAAGTGCTCTTCCAAGGCACAGCGCCTTGCAAATATATGCAATTCTGTTATTTGCACAGCTATGTTTATAAATGGGTATGAACATAAAAAGTGGAGAATTATACTGTCTAATGTTTTTGTTCTGTCTGTTAATATTTTGTCAAGGAATAGATTTCATTAGGACAATGTGTCATGATTTTGAACAAAAAAAAATAGAGTACATATTAGGAAGAAATTATTAATATGAGGATGGTGAGGCACCAAAAACTTGCCCAGAGAAGTCATGAATGTCCGATTCATAGAAGTGTTCAAGAGCAGATTGGATTGGTCTTTGTAGCAGTCTGCAGTGGAAGGGGTCCCTGCCAATGTCAGACAGGGTGAAGCTAGGTGATTTTAAGGTCCCTTACAACTCAAACCACTCTATGATTTTATGAAGAACAAAATCACATAATAAGAATTTCAATTTTTAATAAGGGTCTGACACTAAAATATAATGGTGAACTGTAGCAGGTGATTGGTTGAAAAAATAATTATCTCTATAGTATGTATTTCTACAGTATCCAAAGACGAACAAACTAGTTGCAAAGAAAATGGATGTGGAGTTCTTTACATGTACTAGTTCAGTGATAATTACAAGGGAAAAAAAAGGACTTGGTACTAAAAATACAACAATATTCCTAAACAAACAAAGAAACAAACAGAAATTAAAAAAAAAAAAATATCTATTTAATTTTCTAACAATAGTCACATTTTAAAAAAGGGAAATTTCCTTCATGTAAAGGAGTAGCTGCTTTCATCTTTTATTATTCTGGAAAAAAATGAAATATTTTCATGAACTTTTAAATATTCATTGATGTATGCTAAAATCTTTTTAATTTTGGCTTTACATCTTCAGTCAGCAATAGCATTTTAAATTTCAATTTTCAGTGAAAAGAAGAAATATAATGCCTTGACATAGTGTTTTCTTCTTTAAAAAAACCCACAAATATAATGCCTGAACACAATGTACATCCCTCTTAGTTTTAATCATTAGATATACTCCGGGAAGTTATCTCCATTTTTGTTCGATAAGAAGTCAGCATGTTGCTATTGCTTCTTGTCTTAAAGTTCATGTCCAATTCTCATTCAGTTTTGTAACACCATCACAGCAGACTCTTTACCACTTAAATGATAAAAGTTTCAATAGGCACTTTAGTGGAATTACGAAAAAGCTACCACTCTTCCACCATGATGCCAGAAAGCTATCTTCTTTCTAAGTCAGTCAGCAAACTGTACCTTGTAGGCCTGAGCTTGTCTCAGTGTAATTCCAGAGTAACAAAATAAGAACAACAAAAAACTGTGTATATTACAGGATTTATCTCTTCTTTGCAGATCAAACAAAAACTGACAGTATGATAAACGTAGTAACTTGCTGGAAACAATTGCTGTCTTTTATAATCAAAGGAATCCTGTCCTATTATAAAGCTTAGGTTTATCTTTTTTATTTGTTGTTGGTTTGCTTTTCTTTTTATTTCACTGATGTATTTGTTCTTAAGTGACTTTATCAGGGTTATAACTTTCTTCTTCTCCAAACATGTCTGCCAAGATCTTAAAACGAGGTCCCCAGTCACTCAGATAGTCGTAATCCTGGTCTGCCTCTGTAGTAAGGGATTCTATAGAGCTGAGGGACTCTGCAACAGACCCATTTCCTTCATAAGCATAGGTTGCCAAGGAGTCATAAGGGGGTGCAGTTGGATCAACATCATTTTCCTGCAGCCTTTGATTAATGAAATCTCTTATGTCTGTGTTGTCTTCCACTGGTGGTCTCTGACGTGGAAAACGCAAGGTGTCTGGTTTTATGTCCCTGCGCATTTTGTTATCTTCAATCACTTTGGGATTCCTCAGAGCACCAATGTCGAAAGCTTGGGTGTCCTCCTCTCCACCTCCTTCATCATCATAATGGATAACATTATCTCTGATGTCTTCTTTAGAGGTCATCAGGGTGTCCTTTTTCTTCTGCCTCCGTAGTGCTACATATAGTACTACAATGACTGTAATGACAGAAAACTGAAGTTAAGACATGCATAGAAATAATTTGGTACTCTGATGATATATCATTATACTTCCTTTGAAAGCTGCAAGCAATCAAAAGGATTTTTTTTTCCTCAGAAGATAGACTCCTGCTATTATCATAAAAACAGCAGTGCTCTATCCAATAAAAAGTCATTTGCTGTTTGATGTATGAATCTAACTTTCTTTAGTGCTTGCTGTGAAGGAAGTAACAAACTGTCTTGCTTTATGCAAAAAGTAGGGGTGGATAGGACTTTCAGTTCAGATACAGAGAGATGGGATTCTTTTTTAAATGTGTTCCATTGCTTAATAGAGAAAAATTCCCAATTTTTGACATTATAGAATCATAGAATCACAGAATCATAGAATTGCTCAGGTTGGAAAAGACCTTAAAAAGATCATCAAGTCTAACCATACTACCCTAACTCTAACAACCTCTGCTAAATACGTCCACCACATCCAAATGTTTTCTAAGCACATTCAGGAATGATGACTCAACCACCTCCCTGGGGAGCCTATTCCAGTGCTTAACTACCCTTTCCCTAAAGAATTTTTTCTGACATCCAACCTAAACTTACCCCGGCAAACCTCAGCTTACCCTGTCAAGAAAACAAAACGAATAGAAAACCAAAACAGCAACAACCACAACAAAGCATTGTTGAAGAGAAAAATAAATAAATAGGAATTTCTGAGATGGACAAAAAAAAGTCTAAGTTCAGTTATTTATAGAGTACATTTTTTTGCCTCTCTGAATTTTGAAGAATGACCTGTGATACGTGATACGTTTCTGGAAGGAAAAGGAGTCCTGTAGATCTGGTTGGTTTTCAGCTATCACCTCTTCCAAGCACAACGGTGTTTCATCTTAATGAGCAGGAAATCAAGCAAAGGCAGGAGAAGCAAATGTGCTGAATGGTTTCTTTGCCTCTGTCTTTATTCATAAGACAGAGATCCCTGAAACCAGAGGGAAAATTTGGAGCCAGAAAAATTTATTCTGATGGAAGAGGAAAAGGTTAAGGAAAACTTAAAAAAATTGGATGCATACATGGACAGTAACCTTGACAGGATGTAAACTGTAGTGAGGGAGATGACTGACATCACAAGGCCATTGGAGATTAAATTTGAGATGTTGTACTATGAGAAGTTTCTGAGGACTGAAGAAATTGTCGTCATTATCTTAAAAAGGGGCAAGAAGAATGACTGAGGGTACTACAAGCCAGTGAGTCTCACATCTGATCTTGACAGATGGTGATGGGTAGCAAGTTCACTATGAGTCAACAATGTGCCTTTGAGGCAAAGAAGGCCAACAGCAGTTTGGGCTGTATTAGGAAAAATGCTGCTAGCAAGTCAAGGGAGACGATTCTTCCCCTCTGCTCAGCACTGCTGAGGCCATATCTGTAGTGCTGAGTCCATGCTTCAGCTCCTCAGTGAAAGACAGACATGGGCTTTCTGTAGCAAAACCTTCAAAGAGTCACAAAGATGACTAAGTGGTTGGAGCATCTGACATAGAAGAACAAGCTGAAATCTGAAAACATTCAGCCTGTAGAAGAGAAGACTCAGGGAGATCTTTGATCAGTGTGCTTAAATACCTGACAAAGCAGTAAAGAAGAGGGAGTTTGAGCCTTCTCAGCTTAGTGACAGGACAATGGACAATGGGCAAAAGCTGAAATACAGGAAATTCCATTAAAATATGAGTTTTTTCCTGTCATAATGGTTAAGCACTGGATCATGTTTCTCAGAGAAGTAGTGTTGCATCTATCCTGAGTTACAGTCAAGCCTCAGCTGAATGCACCCATTCTCTAAAAGGATGCTGGGCTAGTTAATCTCCAGAAGAGCATTCCATCTGTGATTTTGTACTCAAAGGAAATTGTTTTGTGGTGTGGTTTTATTGCCAATAGTTTGGGCAATGAGAAACCTAGTAGTAGTACACTGGTAATTTTATTTTATTTTTTTAATTTCCTAACTGCCTTTCGTAAAAATCATAGAGTTCTAAGTACTATTTTTGAAGTAATATAATAAAGAACAGTGTTGCAATGATTGTAAGTTCATGGTCCATTGTGCATAGCATAAAATAACTCCTGATGTTAATATATTGACTGTTTCTTATGTGGAAGTGAGCTCAGTAAGAATCACTTCAAGTACAGTTTTAAAGATTGCAATAATGAAAATCCTGAAGAAACTTTAAGATTTATCAATTTGCCATTATTACAGAAAAAAAAGATATAAATTCCATTCTTTTATGTCATGCACATCATTGGTGTTCTCATTATTTATACATTAGTTTTTCTAGGTAGTATTACTGGATTGATTGGAATGAAGCGAGCTATTAAAAACCAAAGCCTCTTTTCCTTTTTCAAGAACATCCACACATTTTGTTTTTTTAAAACATTTGTTTAAGCTAATGGGAACACAAATTAATTAACACGAGAGTCAGAATAACATACTTGAAAGGGTATAATGAGAACTAACCTAGAAGTATAACAATACACAACAGGATTGCAATCAGTGCTCCTGTACTGAGGCCTACTGGCAAGAAGATTGCTTCCACATTGCAGGACAGGATGGTACCATCAGAATCACATCTGCAAACCCGGATAGTCATTGTGTTTGTACTGCTCTGGACAGGGTAACTGCTATCTTCTATTACCACTGGAAGAAAATACAGCTCTTGCTGCCTCCTGCTGTAGCCATTTCTCCTGGTTTCAATCCCAGCTGTGTTGTCTGTAAAACATGAGAGACGTTATAGGATTTTTATTGTGCACATAATTTACTCTTGATGTTTGTATCAACTTTACTACTGGAAGCTGTTTCATTTCTGAAACTCAGTGAATGACATGCTCTTATGTATTTGTCTTGTCTTATCATTACAAAAAGAATTGTATTCTGATTAGTGTAGCTAAGGGATTTCCTTTTTGCAGAGAACCAAACAATATACTGTTTCCAGCCCAGGACTGTGTTCCAAATGACTCTAATTGCAGGTGGATTTAGATCAAGACTCCATTAAATCATTCAATTTCTTTTGAAAAAAAGAAAGTAAGATGCTTTGGCAAAATACAAAACCCTTTCAACCTTCTTGCCATATTAAGAGTACAGAAATGAACTGTAATGAACTATAATCAGTACATTTTCCATCAATTAGTCACAAATGAGTTCAGAGCTCCTAGAAATTATATTTTGTAATTTCTTCCCAGTAGCTAGTCAGTTATCACAACTTTTCTTGAATCAAACAGAGCAGCAAGAAAATGATGTGCAGATTAAAAGAATTACATTGAAAACAAAAAGGAAATAAAATTAACAGGCAATCAATTAGCTGTCAGATTTGAATGAAGGTAGCCTGCAGCAGTAACCATTTTTCCATCTGATCCATACACTTTAGTCTATCTTTATTATTATTTGCTGTCTGTGTTATAAATTTTATCCCTTCTTGGGGATTTACAGTATGTAGAAGAAATTAGGCCCCTGGATTCAACAGTTATGCAGTTCTGAATAAGGACAATAAGAAAAGAAGCCTAAATCAGGTACATTATGAATGGCTACAATTCAGAGAGCACCTGGCTGACTGAATGTTTATTTCAGATGTCATTATTTTGTCAAACAGGCATACAGACATATCAAGTTCAGTGACAATTAGCTTTGAAAAATCAAAGTATTTCAAAATTGTTTTAATCTAGCCAACTTCCATCTTCAGCTTATTCTTTCTCTGTTTCATCATCTGCACTGCATAAAAATTAATCCAGCTTCATCTTACCAGCTTCTGGTTCTTCAGTCTATTTTAATAGAGCCTTTAGTTAGCACACTATCTTTCTCTCTTCACAGTAAATTATATTCTGGGGAGTAAAAGGCCTGAAAAAATTTGTTCTAGAATCATAGAATTATTTAAATTGACAAAGGACCATTAAAGGTCATCTAGTCCAACTCCCCTGCAATGAATAGGAACACCTACAGCTAGATCATAGTGCTCAAAGTCTGACCTTGAATGTCTCTAGGGACAAGGTAGCCACCACCTCCAAGGGAAACACATTCCAGTGCTTCACTACTCTCATCTTAATCTTTTTTTCTTCCTTTTATTCAATATAAATCTCTCCTACTTTAGTTTGAAACCATTTCCCCTTGTCCTATCAGATCCTGCTGAAGAGTCTATCCCTTCTGTCTTATATCCCCCATTATCAGGTCTCCTCAGATGCACTACAAACACATTACATCTAGTGTTATTTCACAACACCCATGATTTTATCATTATAGATCAGCACTGCTTATTAGACTTCTCGGTGTGTTTAAAAATGTTAGTATACATATTTACCTGTAAAAGCGTAATGTGATAAACAGAATCAGTTCCTTAAATAAAGCCAAAATTCCTCTCACAAAGTACCTCCTTGATACTAACACAATCTCAAACTCAAAAATTATGACATTTATGTTTTCTAGAGGTATACTTGATGTAGCAAAAAAAACGATGCTCTGTTATTGCCAAGCAAAGAGCAGAAGATAGCGAATTGTGCTGAGTTATCCAAAGAAGTACTACAGATAGTTAAGCAGAGAATGGAAAATAGCAACTGTAGTGCATTATTAAGAAGAAGCAATATTCACCATTGGGTCTAATGGGACAAATGATGCAAAACATTTAAACCTTGCTTGGCATAACTATAGTTAGAAGTTGAAATGCTATAGCATTTTTAGAGAGTAATAGATGTTGAAGTCAAACTGTTTAGGCTAAGTACTTCAGAAGAATAATGATCTAATCTTCCAACAATAGAAGGGGATTTCATTACTTTACAAGACTCTCCTTTATATTTGTTGAAATCTGTCTCAAAATAAGTACTCGAATGCCCTCTGAAAAAATGCTAAAAAGTACACATTTTTATTTAATAAGTTAATATTATTCATATCTGCAATTTTATGAATTATTATGTTTTCATTACATACTGTATTTACAAATTGTTAAATGAAATTCTCTGGTCACTTGTAAGCTGGTTTTAACTATCTATGATGCACCTTAATGGAATTCACTCATGAGTTCTTTATTCACTGATTAGTCCACCCTTCAAATTCATATTTCCAATTTAGAGATAAGGATGTAGTGTAGGACCTTTTCAAAAGTCTTAAACAAATAGAAGTAGAAAATATAATTTGCCCGTCCCTTGGCCATTGATGCCTCCACCCTCCACTCTGTCTTAGAAGGCCATGAAATTAGTCAGGCACAATTTACCGTTGGTGAAGCCATGCTAGCTGCCTTGGATCACCTCCTCTTCTCACACGTGCCTTAATATAGCTTCCGGAAGGATCTACTCCATGATCTTTGCAAGCATAAACATATATAATCATATCTCCTTAACTCATAAAGGAACTGATTAGGTGCTATGCCTTTGCAGTAGGTTTGATGGCTTTTACCATTACTCATTATATCAGTCACATTACCTCAATTACAGTTGTTGCATTTTCAGTCATATGATCAGAGGAGGTACCACATGATCAAGAAACATAGTACAGCATAACTAATATTGCAAAGTTGATGCTGGTTATTAATTTCTATATAAAAATATAGACTGTCAACTGGAGTAAAGGATTTCTCTATCAAAAGGAAAAGTAGGGAAAAGTAAGTAACAAAAAAGTTTTGAGTTTGGATTTTTGCCATTAAGTGGAAGCTTCAAATGAAAAGTAAAGGTAATATTATAAGTAGTGACAAAAAGGTGAAGGAAAAAAATCAGTGAAGTTAATCATGTAAATCCACAAATTATTCAGTGTTGTAGGATATTATATTGCAGCAACACTGTTCATATTTAGAACTAATTCTCCTATAGGACTACGCGTCCTTCAGAAAGAATGATAGCTGCATGTTTTGAAATCAGTATGAAAAGTAGAAGTTTTTAAACAAGGCAGTATTAGTGCTTTGTTTAAAGATAAATCTGTATTGATATATGAGTTCTTCCTGATAAACCGAACGATTGAAGGAAGTAATAGAACACGTAGCAGTGTTTTTGCAAGCCTGTGAGAAAATCCCAGTCTTTGTTGTTCTGACAATTCCTGGCCCCTGAAAATGGGAGGAGGTGTGAGACCTGAATTTATATTAATTTCTGTTCTAGATAATTAACAATTAGAAATGTATAAAATAAAATTTCTATGGGCATGCCTGGAATATAAAGCAATCATAACTGTCATTATAATCACAGCCTGCTTTCTGAAAGAGGTATATGGGTAAGCAACTTACTTCTGTAGTCATGGATTGTGAAATTTGGTTTGTTGGAAGCCTCAGGTGACAGTCTGAAGGAAAACCTTTGCCCAGCTGGTGACAAATCTTTGTCTGTGGCAGTGACAGTCTGTATTACCTGAAACCAGATTAAGATTAATTTTGAAGTCAGTTCACTAAAGACTTCTAGAACACATAATTTTGTTAAAGAGAAAATTGGAACAAGTGAAGGGCAATCTTATGGATTACTCTCATCCCTCTAATGGTTTGGACAGTGGAGGTAAGGGGTCTGAATGCTACAGTCCCTAGAGATCTTGTGATATCTCAGAAGGTCTTGTTTTCACATATAGAAATAAAATCAGAAGAATTTCCCCTATAATAATAAAAGAAGCATCTAATAGTTGTCCTTTTATCAAAATGCTAGTGATTGTTTGCAAGTAAGTTAATTAATTAGAGACGGTTCACTTTATCAGTTACTTCTAATATTACTGCTAGGACTAGTACATGCTAGTACTGCACTCTGATTTTACGTCTTCAGATGAAGTGGAGAGGTTTTTAAGGTCTGCAACATCTAGGCATGATGGAGTATTAGGACATAAACTTTTGAGTCTCAGAGTAGATGGGGATCTACGAGATTTTAGATGAGGACAGTGCAGTTAGGATACTTCATAGTAGGATTTCCACTGATCTAGATTTTTATGCCAAAAATTTTTGGCAATTATAAATGTAACAAAATATTTATAATTATTGCCAGTTTACTGCCTATCTCCACCTTCCCAGTAAAAGATTACCTTCTCTATTATTAGGGTCAGGAGAAAAAACTAATGGCTTTGTCCATTAAACAAGAAGCTAATTGAAGTTTTCTGAGAAGTAACTGGAACATGCAAGAAATAAAAAAGTGAAAAAGAGAGGAATGTTATATGAAGTCACAGACATATCTATAATAAAAGCATCACATAGGCTGATTACGTGTTACATACATATAAAGAGAATTTACTAATGACAAAGCAGGCTGCATATATTCCTTCCATGGCTGATAGTTACCTCGTAATTGAACAGGCAAAGTTACAAGTCTTGGACAACATTCTATATCTGTAGAAGTTTTTCCATGCTGTGTATATATTTGAAACTGTTTATAAAAGCAAGCTTTCAGAAGGACTGACTTTCGCATTCTGGGTTCTTTTTCTGTGTATAGGACACAGAGAATTATGTAATCCAGCCTGTTGTGTTTACTTCCTTGACCGTAATTTCGCAGCTCTATTTGAATGTCTAAAATTAAGAGCTTCTTTCTCCTGTTTTCTGTTCCCTGCAGAGTACCAAGTGACTGTGGTCCATATAATCAGAGATCATAAAATAAAAGGACCATAAATAAATGTCAAAAAGCAGAATTCCAAAAGATGAATACTTATAATGCATTTTATTTGCAAAATAATTCTAAACATGATGTAATTGCTGAAATCCATGATTTTTCATGGTTATAAACAATGAGAAAAGGAAAGGCAAAACAGTAATTTGAAATACCTGTCCTGGCTTGGCATTTTCACATACAGATGTCTCATATGGAACTGAAATTTCAGGAGGAAACTCATTGACATCCAGGACGTTTATTACAACGTTGACTTTGCTGGTTAATAATGGGTTACCTAAAATAATTTATGGGAGAAAAGAATTAAAGAATGTTATTTATGTTTGTTTATCTCCAGTGTCTATGAGATGTCATAATATTTTTTTATACCAGTATGGAGACTTCTAAAAATCCTTGCCTTATATTCATTTCTGATTTGTATGCAGGAGAAAACAGAAGCAAGCTTATCATTTTGTACCAGACTTTGATCTATTATTGCTCATGGAGTAAAGAATCAATCAACATGATTATGTTTGTCAGAGCATGATTTACAGAATTTGAAGTTACACCTGTAATTTTAGGTGCAAACTTTTCTCAGATCAATTTTCATGGATTCTTTGGTAAACACTTCCAAGAATTAAAACTGAATTCTGTTTTCAACAATGGAATACAGAAAAAATTAATATTATTTATCCACTGTTTACATCTTCAGGTTATTAAGGAGGTAAGTAGTGTATTTAGTAGGTGGAGAAAAGTGAGAGAAAATGAAATAAAGAAAAAATAAATGCTAAAAACCAGAGAGTCACTGGAAAATTTAGCAGTGAAATACATAGAAATAGGATTCAACTTATGGTTAGATTATTAAGCTATGTCATACTTACTTAATTGCATAAATATTTGCAAGTAGCAAATACTTTGTGCAAAACAAATGATAAAAATCATACATACTACTGTCTGTTCATTGTCTTTCTAATGCAGATAATCATAATTTCGTAGCTGATATAATTTAGTCACTAGAAGTATTTTATATACAAGATTATCTGCGAGCTCAGTGTCTGATGAAAAAGTAATATAAATTCAATTGAAAGCAGATAAAATTGCTTTTTATTTTATGTTTAGACACCTCTGATGGTAACAGATACATAAAAACAGTTTAGCTGGTGAGTCAAAAAGATAATGTACTTATCCCTTGTAATTTTAAAGAGAGACAATGACTGCATTGTCTACAACAGTCAATTATTGAAGAAATCTATGCCTGAAGCATGGTGGTGTAGGAATGACAGTGTGGGGTCTTGGCTAAGAACAAGAAGAGTTTTCTGGAATCTCCATGTATAAATGGCCCATTTATATTGTCTGTGCTAACCGCTAACTGTAATTCATAGAAACATTTGCACATCTATTGTTTATAGCCAACAGCAGGGAAAGTTTTAGCAGGTCAACAATATATTGCAACTCATTGCCAAGAAATTCATTGTAGCACTGTTAAAATTTTACATTATTTCTTGTTCCTAGAAACTACTAAATTGAATGTTTTCATGGAATCTCTGTCAAAGCCAAAAGGTCAAAATGATTTCCTAGTTAAACAACAACAGCTGCAAGTAAAAGCATGCTTTACTTGCTTACATATAGTGAATAGACCGACCATCCTAAAAGCTCAGCTTGAACTCAAAAAAAAGAGCCACAAAAACACTATCCGAATCTCACAATACTTTTAGTTCTTTCCTGTGAAAATATCTAATTTATACAGAAATCTGAGTACCAGTTTTCATGCTCTTTGAATGCTCAGTCATTTTCAAGTCACCACAAGCACATGAAGAAGGTCTCTGTAAAAAAAGCTATGTGGAGTATGAATGTGGATAGGACTTGGTCTAGCAGCTGTGAACAGGACAGGGATTCTTCAGGTGCCCAAAGAGCCAGAAGAAATCTGGAACATTTCCTCGCATTTGAACTGGTTCCTCTGTACTAGCAGGAAACAAAGAAGTACTAAGAGGCTGTTTTGATCAATGGAAAGTAGGACCACATCTCTCAATATGGACAGAGATGAACTAAGTCCTGAGGAGATCTTGTTTAAAGTTGCTTGCAGAAATCAAACCTACAAATCCTAAACCTCCCTGCTAGCAGTACCCATGTAGAGAGCACAGTAACTGCCAAAAAGTAATCCAGGCTTTCCTTCAGGTTCTGTGCGTTTGTCCTAAGATACAGCTGAATGGAATGGCAGGAGTCTACAATACATTATGCAGACATATTAGAAATAAATTCAGTTGTGAAAGTACAGGCATAGGCATTTGTTCATTTCTTTTTAGAACTCTATACAAGAATGAATGTATTCAAAATTCATGCATCACATACATGGAAGGTATTAGTTAAACACTGCAGCGTGCTTTGGAAGTATACACAAATATACACACACTTTTTGCATTTATTTCTCACTGATAGTTTGCAACTTATTTTCTGAGATTCTTTGAAAAGTGTATGCATAACTATACTGCTAACTATTGTAGCAAGGTAGAATGTCTCCTTACATAAATGGTTGGCAATAATCAAACATGAAAATAAGATCACTTTAGCAAAAGATAGAGCTACTTTCTTGTTATGTGTTTGTTTCTTTTTCTTGCTGGATTACACTGGTATCTGTGTAACTACTCATGTATAAAAAGGAAGACTGCTAAAAGTTTGGTTACAGCGTTGGATTCCTATACAAAGACTCATAATACTTGATGCTTACAAGGATAAAAAAACAAAACAAAACAAAACGGAAAAAAAAGCACTTCACAAAGTTTACTTTAATCTTCTCTGGTTTTGTCTTGTTTGCCCTTTGTCTGAAAATCAAATCATTTTTAGTCCTGTGAGCATAGTAGTGATGTGTGTACTTGTGACAGTGAATGAGTCACTCAGGCCAACTACTTAAGCCATTTAAACTCAAATTACCACAGAAGAGGACAAGCGGTTTATCATTAGCATAGGAATTATGAACCTGATTTCAGGTTTCAATTCTATCTGTATGACAGGCAAATTAATTAGTTTCTTTCTTCATCATTTTTCCTGTCTGTAAGACAGTGACAACACTGCTTCCTTCTTTTGCTTGAGTGCCAAGGTCTGGTAACATCTTCATAGTTCAAAGATATTACAGGACTAGAACCTATAAAATACGTGAATGAATGAGACTGAAAATGCAAGATACCTAAAAAAAACCCAGATGCTGACCACTGAGGAGATCTCAATCCCAGCTATGTTATGCAGGAAAGGATAAACATCGTCTTGAAATTTAAGATCATATTTCTTTAGCATTATTTCTACAGGAATAAGATGTTACACAACTTAACCTATTTCTTCTTCTGTCAAGTACAGTCACTATTTTCGTTCTTGGTAATTTAGCATGACACTGTGGATCTTTCTGAGCACTGAACTCTGATTATTTATACTATCAAATTCTTACAACAACTTCTTGGCACACTTCTGGCCTGGGGAAACTAGTGGTCTTTCAGGTAATCCACTTTCACGTAGTGAGAGTTAGTATGAATGAAGGACAACTCAGCAAATCCATTTACACATTGCCACCCTGTTTGGAAGACCAGAGTGTTCAGTGGCATGGAAGTAAACTACTCACTGCCAGCTGGCCTAAGTGACAAGAAAAAATGCAAGACAAGTATAATTTATTACTCTGGACAGAGTTTGTGGAATCAAAAATGTTCAAAAGCAGGAAGCATGGAAGCTACGAGAAGAAACCATTAGGAGAAAAACAAAACCAAAATGAAAAGTAGAGAAAAGAAGTTCAAGTAAGGAGAAACTGGTGAACGAAATGGGAAAAAAATAGGGGTTTGAAACATCCCCTTCCTGTTCATGTACTTTGTTCTACATGGAGGCTGACTTTTTATTTCAACAGATGGGTAAAAGACCTTTTGCATTCTCCTGCCTTCATGTCTGTGTCATCTGCATGTTAGCAGAAGAGTCATCCGCTTTCAAAAAATGAGTATTTCTACTTCAGGATGAGCTTCTTTAACAAGGGTAAAGAAGGTTATGGTGTCTTGTGCTAAATATGACAGTAGGCATCCATCACTCCACACTGAGTAGTTGTTCTGATATTTGAAGACAGATTTACAGATCGTGTTTGGAACAGATATATGTCAGTTTTTCAGGTTAGAAATAAAAAATAAACAACAATATAGTGATACGTGGTTAGAGCTGGTCACTCAATAACTTGGCTAGAATAACTTCCAATATCTGATTTCCCTACATGGAGCCAGATACTTTTGTCCATTTGCAAAATTTATGATGTTTTTTCAGGGTAATCAGGATTTCTCACATCCACAAACTGACACAAGCACGCCTATAACAAGCAAATTTCATTATCAACTTGTTGCTAAGGGACAAAATTTGGCCTCTGGTTAAGCTGCCAATCCACACCACATTTGGTATAAGTAGGAATGAAAAGACCAGTTTAGGGACGAATAGTTGCAGTATATCTGTGTCAAAAAAAAGAAAAAAAAAGTAAATAACTAAAGCAGAAAGAGGACATTGGACATAAAACCATTTACAAATTCCCAAACAGAAAAACTTTTAAAAAAGAAATTATTTTTCTCTGTAACAGCTCATACCAACAAAGGATACACTGATTTACATAAGGCAATTCTCATCTGCCTCATTTCTGAAATATATTCCTTTAAAAAATATGTCTTTTTTTTTTTTTCTAATAAAAAATATTATCAGTTTGTAAGAAAAGTCTAAATGATACATCCAATTCTGCATTTACATTTATATATTCTCTGCTGCTATATTTAGCTATCTAAACTGCTTGCTTTTGTTTGAAAGTTAATTTCTTTGCTTAGAAGTTGTAATACTACTACACTGTACAAAAAAAAAGTTGACACAAGTATAATCCGTGATTCTTACAGAGTTTCATTCTGAAGCTACAGAAGCCCAGTGGGGGCAACCACTAGAAAACCCCATGGCTAAGGGCACTGGAGGTATCTGTAAGTTTTTTTCTTGTTCCTTCATGGAAAAAAAAAAAAGTGTTGAGAATGAAAAATAAGTATTTTAGCAAATGATCAACAGAAATTGAAATGGCTATTAGTAGTTTGAAATCTCTTTATTTTAAATATATGTGCTCAACAAGAGTTGAAAATATTTAGATAAGAATTAAAGTCCTGGGGCAAGTTTGTGCAGCCATTTGCAATATTGGACCACTTGGCAATCAGATCTATGTCAAAGCGCTGTTCAGCATCCTGTTACTACAAGAGATGATTATTGCACTGTTTCTATATAAGCACTAAATGGGTCACATCTTTATTGTAGCAGAAAATTCCCCAAAAGATTATTTTTTTCCCTCTTTTATTTCATGCGCTCCTACTCTTCTCTTTGGCCTTCTTTGCTATTTCTCAAACCCGGTGTTTATTTCTGTGTAATTTCTTATACACCTGCATATAAAGTTCTGAGAAAATATACATAAAATCTTCCAAAATGATCCAATATTGCTCTAGTACAGGTACAGCAATTATTTGTATTGCTATGGATAATGCTTTATAAATATTTTGATGTACGCTAAAATGAATCGCATGTATGTCTCAGGTGTAGAATCTTAACGAGGTGTTGAAATTGGGAATTTCATAACATAGACTGCCTGCTTCAGTGTTGCATAACATTATGTAGAAATGTAAACTTGGAGATTTTAGCTAGCTTTAATTACTCTAGGTAATAATAAACAGATTCCTATTAAGTTTATTAAAAGTGCAACCTTATTGCAGAAAGATTTTACAGTTCTCAGGAGATCCTTATCCACCAGAAATAATTAAGCGTTACTGAAATGTAGAGTATTACAAGACTTCTTCACTACAGCCTTTCAGTTTCTCTGAAAATGAAGTACAGTTCTTCTGGACTTTCAGTATACGCAAATACTTATAGTCCATATAATCAATCACTTGTGAAAGTTTAGTTTCTTCTGCTAGTCTATTTCTATCTCAAGTTAAGGATAAAATTCAAGTGTTTATTTGGCTAGTGTCCCTGTTAGTTTTCCAGACTTCAGGTAGTGATCCCATGAGCTCTCCTTGAGATAACTACAGCTATTTTTATTTTAATATATGTTTTCTTTGCTTCCAATATCTCCGTCTTGTTAATAGAATAGTAATATATTCTATATTAACTACATATATATATATATTAACTATATATAATAGTTAATAGAATAGTTAATAGAATGGATTACATATTGAATCATAGAATCACAGAGTCATAGGGGTTTGAAGGGACCTCTGGAGATCACTGAATCCAACCCCTCTGCTAAAGCAGGTTCCCTACAACAGGTTAGACAGGAAAGCATCCAGGTGGGTCATGAATATTTCCAGAGCCTTTCTAGGCAGCCTGTTCCAGTGCTCTATTTTTAGCTCAATGCAAAGAAGTTCTTTCTCATGTTCAGATGGAACTTCCCGTTCCACTTTGTGCCTATTACAGCTTGTCCTGTTACTGGGCACCAGCAAAAGGAGCCTGGTTTCATTCTCTTGAATCTGCTCTTCAGAAATGTGTAAATGCTGATATTTATATTAAGTGAGTTATTATATTAGGTGAGTGTAGACATTTATAAGCATTTGTAAGTGACATCTCAGTGCCAAGAAATACATTGAGGAAAACAAGTTATTTGTTTTTCTGGACACACAAACAATACAAAACAAATAGGAAATATACCAGGCATACTTTTGTACAGCTTATTATGTGCCAAGAAAGATTTCTGTGTCTTTACACATCTTCTAGAAGACCAAAATTCTCATTCGAATAGTGGTTTACGCCTACCAGACTTTCAATTTGGCAGGATCATGAAGGAAGAATGCTACAAATGCTACACAGGATGACAGTGAAGAAAGTTGGAGCTACTTAATACATGAGAAGAAGGGAGCTCTCATCTGCAAATAAAAGCTTTGTGGGAGAAGGCATAAAGGAATAAAGTAAACAAAACCAACAATACAGTAATAGAAAACAAGTGGTTAAGAAGAAAGAGTTTTGGGCAGAGAGAAAATTCAAAATCAAAGAGACAGCACATAAGTTGATTCATTTAGTGCTCTAAATTATTAGCATGCTTTCATGACTCTATTTCACTGTAATTCTTGTCTGAGAATTAAATGAATGTGTACATGCAGAGGAAGGTCTCTATACATTCTCTTCTGATTTCAGGCATTCTTGTTGATAAGTTTTTTCAGCTTCTGCAGGAATTGTTCTTGCATGAGGACTACTAGAAAACCATTACTGTACAGGCCTATTTGTATGTCATGCAGCCTTATAGTCAATCTGGGAAAATGATATTTATCGGGCATTTCTAAATCATTTCTTGGTAATATATGCACTCTCCACAGTATATTTATGCTCAAGCACTACATTCTGAAAAAAAACAAACACATTAGCATATTAATTCAGTTTGTGTCATACTTACTAACTTTACTTGCAATTATAGAGAAATTGTACTGTGCTGTGCTTTCTCTGTCCAGTAATTCATTAGTAGCAATGGTTCCTTCATTAGCATCTATTGTAAAGTAGTTGTCCACATCATTCTTCCAATCGATGAAGTATCTGCATACGAAAAATATTAAACAGAGTAGATGCAAATGTACAGTGATTACACATTTATCATAACAGCAGTCTAGCTAGCTGGAGCTGTTATTTTTCTCTTCCCAGCTATTGCCATCTTTGCAGGAAGAAGACAATAAGCTGTGATTTGTTTGCTTGCTTATTTATTACAGAGTTGGAGTATTCAAGGGGAAAAATAAGTATATAATAAAAGACTTACTACTTCTCCTGTATAGATTATTTGAAAATGGGCTCCCAAGAAGTTAATGCACAGCTTTTGTTACGCCTGTTACTTTGTAAAGCACTAGAAAAGCTCACAGGGAAAAAAAGAAAAGTTGTGAAACAGTGCTTGTTTAGTGATGAATAGTGGCTCAGATCTGGTATATTCATAGCTACAATAGCCATAATGGGCAGACAGAGAGGTGTCCTTGTAGACTGACTGTTAGTGCAGTCTACTTACTTAGAGGTCCTTTACCAAAAGAATATTGGAACAGTCATAGTACAGAAGACCTCAGTAGGCTTATTACCCTTACCTATACAATAGCATTAAAAGGCTCTTTGCTTTTGGGAGGAACGAACAAGTCTGACTTGCACTGGAGTTGAGAGAAACAGGGCAACATTATTCGTTTTTTTTATTCTTTCTCAAAAAAGGATGAACACAGGACAAAATCAAAACTCAAAACATGTATGCATTTGTTATTCGTCCCTACCAAGGACATATTAGAAAGAAGAGATGTGCTTGTAAATGTAGCCACTTAAAAGCAATCTGATAATTATTCCAAAACCATTTCCCTTAAATGCTAATTAATTTGAAAGTCTATTTTCTCATTTGATGCCACTGTTTATAGTCATAACAGAATAATTCTTCTGATGCAGTGCCGCTAGCAACTAATTTCCTTTTCATTGCTGCTCTCTTCATACCTAGACTGTGTTTCTCAAAAACCAGGCACGATGAAAATGAGAACCACATTTCTGAGCAGTAGGCAATAAACAAAAGTAGCACTCGCAACAGTTACATTTAGAAGTTCATAAAGTCCAGAGGAATGTACCTATGGCACCACATTGCATGTAGAGCAGTGAGACTAAAAGTAAAAGATACTATTTCCTTCTCTGATAAGTATAGATTATGGAAAGAATGTATTTGTAATGTAATGTTAAACATCAAGCTTATTTCTACAGAAGGAAGCAATGTTACAAAAAGGTAAATTGCACATTCCCTTAGAATGAGACTCATAAATGCTAATAGCAAAAGGAGACTCAAATAATAAAAAAAATCACAATAGAGCATATGACTTCATTTCATCAAAATTATATTCTTATAATTTTGACAGGATTTTCTAATCCTGTCTGTAGATGAAATAGTTTTCTTCAATTGACAGTTATCACTATCAGTTCACTGCTTTATTTGAAGAGCCTCACCTATGATTTGCTAAAATCTGAATACATCCTTTTACACAGCTGAGCAGGCATATTTTCTACCCACATTTGCAATTTCAATCTCATTCAAAATTTAGTTGACATTAAAAATATGAAAAATATATATGCCATTTCTTAGAAACATGAGATACTCTTTCAAAAACAGTAAAATTAATTGTTCATACTTTTCATTTTTAATAGATATTAAATACTCAGCCACACACAAATGTCCTATCAAAGCATGAGAAAGTAACTTATCTTCAGCCCATGGAAGATCAGCTCTATCTAAATATCCTACACACCAACAATATAAGTCAATGAAGAAAATGCAGGACCAAGTTCAAAGTGCAAGATCCTTCACACTGTTGTTTCCAAAGTTGAATTTAATTATAGATACTTGTAAGACCAGAATCTAATAATCTATCTGCAAGCATTCACACAGGTGGTTAACTTCATGCATAAACTCAATATGCCTACTCCTAAACACAGCATCAGCAGGATCAAAGTTCCAAACAGGCTTTGCAAGACTGGCACTATTCCTAGTGAAACTAATGCCAGAATTCTTTTGGCTTCAGAGGAAGTGAGATCAGTGGGAATAGAATAGTGTAATAAAAATGGATTGTATTGGTTGTAATAGTTCTTCAAAATTCATTGTCTTCATTTGCGTTCAAACTGTGGATATTATTATGCCAAAACTGTTGGTAGTTTTTATGAATTTATTTATTTATTACTTTGGCATTATGTTTGAAGACATGCCTTCTTTCTTTCTCTTTATGGTAAAGAAGGCACATATGGTAAAAATAGGGACGGGACAGTTATTTCAGTCCCGAAATTAGACTAGATATGGAACAGAAATAGAAGTATTGGGGATGCGTTGGATAAAATATATATTCTCTAAGAAAAAAAAGGCAGATGTCCTTTCTCCTTCCTTTCACAGTCTATCTATGTGCAGTACTCATGAAAAAAATTCTGTCAGAAGATCCTCTCATACATAGCTCTTCTGGACATAGAATTGTTTCCTCCTTCTTCAGTAAATTTGTAATGCTTAGCAAAAGAGTGAATTGAACTTGGTCTGGCTAGTTTTTAAATGGGAACTGTTGAGGAATCTCAAAGGAAGTTCTAATTTTGGGAAGACCCTAAAAGAAGTGAAGTTTACTTTTATGGTCCAAAAACATTTTTTTTTATATAGTCTGGCATTCACTGTGAGATTTTCTGTAATGAGCACAGCAAAACTTTTCCTAAGACCTGAATTCTGTCTTTTTCTTCAGCGGGAAAACAAACAAACAAAAAATAAACAAACAAAAGAAACACCTTCAAGAAAAGAAGAAATGAGAAAAGAGTCGTCAGTCTGAAAAATCAGTAACTTTCCAGAGACAGACCCAGGTATCCGGAACATAAAGCCTGACATTTTTTGTTAGACTGACTCAAAGAGGACTGTTGTTGAAATGCTGTTATTAGGACAGCTGTCTAGATCTTCTAGTCATGGTCTAGCAGTCTGAAACAACTGAGATTGGTTTGTTTAAATTCCTAGATTTCCTGCGAAACAGGCCACGGTCAGTGCACTAATCCCAGGAGGCAGCTCTCTCCTGGAAAAGTTAGGATGTACTGGCACAGCATATGTATATTTACTAACATTGTTTCAGTCTTCCCAATAATAGCTGTATTTGTACATCAAGTAGGATAGAGAAGACAGAGTGGAAATATTTGATTTATAAAATAATTGGAGCCAAATCTGGAGGACTCTCACCTGGAGTGTTCACAAAAACACACTTCCCTCTTAAGGAGCATGTATAATAATTCGCATTCATTCTGACTAAATTGTGAATGGTCTGTGGCTCACGAGAAAACTCTGAGGGAGACTGTCTACTCCGCCTGCAGCACAGAAGATAGCAAAGTGCCTGTGGGAGGGGTGCTGAATTCATAAGTGATAGCAGATCATCCTTCTGAAGATAATAGGAACTCTGAGCCATCAAGTAGTCAAATTCAGTTGCTTCAGACTGTTATACCATGAATAAATGATCCAGACAGCTGTCCTGCTGCTGCTATGGGATATGTGATAACAGGTCACGCTAAGAAGGGGTGGGAGGTGGCAGAGTATGCACAGAAGGCTGTAGAACCTGCGACTTGGGCAGTGTCCTTTGGTCCTAACAGTGTAGAAAAAATTTCTTCTGCCCAGCAGAAATGGCCTTGTGAATTGTGGGGTACATTCTAGACAAAATGGTGAGCATGAGAAGAGCTTTTACTAAGCCTAGTTGCTAAAGAAAAAGTGAAGAAAAAGTGCTGCCTACAAACATTGTCACTGTTTTCAAAGTAAGAAGAGAAGGGAAGCTTGGACCATACATCTAGAGAAGCCATTAAGCTAAAGGCACTCAGACCAAACTTGCTCCTGCTTTACTAGCACACATGCAGAAAATCATTTGAAAGCACATTCAACTGAAATTGGCATGAAGAATAAAATGAATTAACCAATTCAGTGAACAATAACACATTTAACATTTAAATACTCTTTTTCTCTTTTGTTTCACTGTTCAACAAATAAGGAACAGTAATTAAAACCAGTCTTCTAAAAGAAGAAAAGAAAAATGAAAGGGGGACATTCCAGTACTTTTCATCTTTGTTTCTGGGTTGTTCCACATCATTCATGCCATTCATCAGTATAAATGGTCTTGTCTGTATTCCCATTTCTATTGTAAAACTGTAGCTAAAGCAAACCCAGATGGTGACTCTAAGAAAACCCAAATCGCAGATTTTCTCTCTATACACTGAATGATTTGGCTGCCAATCCCAATTTAGAAAGCATCTTATTACTCCAACCATATGATAAACCCAAGCAAGCACTGGAATGAAGCACTTTAGATGTTAGAAAATTCCTTATGTGGTGGGGTAAAAAGATGCATCATTTTTAAGAGAAAGTATGTTTTCAACTATGCTAACTTGGGACAATTAAATACCACCTATCATATAAAAGATATGTTGATTATAAAAAAAAAAAAAAGTACATTATAAACATAAACAAAAGATACTAAGATTCAGTTGGAAATTATGAGCGGTTAGGATTTTTCATAGTTCCAACACATACATAATTAAATAGATGAAAGAAAAATGTAAAACAGGACTGGCAAAAGGGTTGAGGGACTAGAAGAATGCAAATGAGACTTGAGATGTGATTTGACTACTTGAAAGTCCAAAGGAATTTTCATCTGTACCACATTCATGCACTGCAGCTAGAAATTAATAATCTCTGCATATAACTAGCTGTTGAGAAAATGGACCTCTGCAATATATTTTGGTCATCACATCATCAGACAGATATCAGAGAGAGTCCAAGAAAACCTGTCTTAGGTGTAGGCAGGCTGAATTTTAAAGAAAGATTAAAAGAGCTAAAATATGTTTAGCTTGGATAAGAGATGACAAAAGGAAGAAATGATAATTATCTACAGATAGCTGAAGGGCTTAAACACCATTAAAAGAAAAGTATTATTTAGTTCCTAGCAGAGGAGTGGAAGGATGAAATTAAGAAATAAAAAAATTATGTTATGCAGCAGAATCTTTCTGGCAGTGATGTATATTACACTGTACAAAATGAT